ACAACTACGACTGCGACTACGACCACTTCTACTACGACTACTACTGCCACCACCACTACGACTACTACTACTACTACTACTGCTACTACTACTACTACCACTACTAGTTGCACTACTACTACCACCACTACTACTACTACTTCTACTACGACTACTACTACTACTGCTATTACAATTGTTTTCCCGGAAAGGGCGTGGGCCCAGGGTTCTCTTTTAGTAGGTAAACCTGTCCCCCGGTGCCAACTTGAGGGAGGCCGGCGAATTTTTTCCCTGATAAATAACGAAGTCGAAGGAGGCCGGCGAATTAAAATTTGAGGATGTCTCGAGCGAAACGCTTGTTTTTGAAATCCCGATCGATAAATCACAGGGTGCGGGACACTTTTTCGTGTGTTGAGGATGTCTCGAGCGAAACGCTTGCTCCGCAGAGTTTGCCGAGGATGTCTCGAGCGAAACGCTTGTTTTGCAGGGCCGACCGCGACGCGGAAAAGCGCCCCGCGCGAAGGAATTTCGATGATGTCTCGACTAATTCGTTTGTTTTTGCACGATTTCCTGGAATTTTGGCAGGATGTCTCGAGCGAAATGCACGACCCCATCCTAGCACGACCATACCCCAGCACGACCGACATCGCGCGCGGAAAGCCGCCCCGCGCGAAGGAATTTCGATGATAAATCCTCGACGAATTTCGTTTGTTTTTGTACGATTTCCTGGAATTTTTGCAGGATGTCTCGAGCGAAATGCACGACCCCACCGCACGACCACGCCCCAGCACGACCACACCCCAGCACGAACACACCTCAGCACGACCACACCCCAGCACGACCACACCCCAGCACGACCACACCCCAGCACCAGCACGACCCCACCCCAGCACGACCCGATCGATAAGTCACAGGGTGCGGACCACCCCAGCACGACCACACCCCAGCACGACCCCACTCCAGCACGACCCCACCCCAGCACGACCACGCCCCAGCACGACCACACCCCACCACGACCACACTTCAGCACGACCACACCCCAGCACGACCCCGACCCAGCACGACCCCACCCCAGCCCGACCACACCCCAGCACGACCACACCCCAGAACGACCACACCCCAGCCCGACCCCACCCAAGCACGACCCCACCCCAGCACGACCACACCCCAGCAGGACCACACCCCAGCACGACCACATCCCAGCAGGACCCCACCGCAGCAAGACCACACCCCAGCACGACCACACCCCAGCACGACCTCACCACAGCGCGACCTCACCACAGCACGACCACACCCCAGCACGACCACGCCCCAGAACGACCACGCCCCAGCACGACCACCCCCCAGCACGGCCACCCCATCAGCACGACCACCCCCCAGCACGACCACCCCCCAGCACTCGCCCACCCCCCCATCACGACCACCTCCCCACACTGACACACACGCCTTTGTTTGAGTGGTTGCCCTGCACGACCACACCCCAGCACGACCATCACCCCAGCACGACCACACCCCAGCACCGACCACCCCCAGCACGACCACACCCCAGCACACAGCACGACCACACCCCAGCACGTGACCGCCCCAGTAGTCACCTGGTTCGGACCAACCCAGCACGACATCGACCCCAGCACGACCCCACTGCCTCCGCACGACCCCACCCAGCACGACCATACCCCAGCACGACCACACCCCAGCACGACCAGACCCCAGCACGACCCCACCCCAGCACGACCCCACCCCAGCACGACCATACCCCTGCACGACCACACCCCAGCACGACCCGACCCCAGCACGACCCTACCCCAGCAAGACCACACCCCAGCACGACCACACCCCAGCACGACCACACCCCAGCACGACCCCACCCCAGCACGACCATACCCCAGCACGACCACACCCCAGCACGACCCGACCCCAGCACGACCCAACCCCAGCAAGACCACACCCCAGCACGACCACACCCCAGCACGACCTCACCACAGCACGACCACACCCCAGCACGACCACGCCCCAGCACGACCACGCCCCAGCACCACCACGCCCCAGCAAGACCACCCCCCCTTGCGACCAGCTCCAGGGCGAGTTCTGCATTCAGACAGCTCGGGCTTAAGATCCAAATCAGTTAGGCCCGGATTCGGAGGCCACGGGCGAGTTGATCCACAACGCACTTGAGCCCTGCGGAGCCCTACGGGCGCCACGGAGCGCTACTGAGCCCTGCGGAGCCCTACGGAGCTCCAAAACGGCCCCAAGAGGGCCCCGATAGCATCCCCAGGGACCCCACATACGTGATTTTGGGGGTGAGGAAGCTACGGGCGGTTTGCCGGTCAGACTTTGAATTCTGACCGGCAAAATCCCTGCAAGGGGAAGGGGCGGGGGGGGGCCCAAGAGGGCCCCAAGAGGGCCCCAGGAGGGCTCCAGAGGGCCCCAAGAGGGCCCCGAGAGCACGACCCGATCGATAAGTCACAGGGTTCGGACCACCCCAGCACGACCACACCCCAGCACGACCCCACTCCAGCACGACCCCACCCCAGCACGACCCCGCCCCAGCACGACCACACCCCAACACGACCACACCCCAGCACGACCACACTCCAGCACGACCCCGACCCAGCACGACCCCACCCCAGCACGACCACACCCCAGCACGACCACACCCCAGAACGACCACACCCCAGCCCGACCCCACCCAAGCACGACCCCACCCCAGCACGACCACACCCCAGCACGACCACACCCCAGCACGACAAGCACGACCACACCCCAACACTACCCCACCCCAGCACGACCCCACCCCAGCACGACCACACCCCAGCACGACCACACCCCAGCACGACCCCACCCCAGCACGGCCCCACCCAGCACGACCACTGCCCAGCACGACCACACCCCAGCACTACCACACCCCAGCACGACCACACCCAGTCGCACCCCCGTGGAATGTTTCGTGGCGTGTCTGGTTGAGTGGTTGCCTGTTCGTGGGGTGTCTCGTGGAATGTTTCACGGGGTGTCTCGTGGAATGTTTCGTGAGGTGTCTCGTGGAATGTTTCGTGAGGTGTCTCGTGGGATGTTTCGCGGGGTGTCTCGTGGGATGTTTCGTGAGGTGTTGCCCAGTTGGGTATCGTGAAAACGTGTCCATGCTCCACATGTCTATATCCCTTTCCGGGTTCGTGGGTCCATCATGTTTTCACTACTACTACGACTATCACTACTACCTACTGCTACTTCGACCACTATTACGACTATTACTACTACTACTACTACTACTACTACTACTACTATTTCTACTACTACTACTACTACTACTACTACTACTACTACTACTAGTACTACCACTACTACTACTACTACTACTAGTACTACTACGACTACTACTACTACGACTGCTACGACTACTACGATTACTACGACTACGATTTCGACTACTACTGCTACCACCACTACTACTACTACTACTACTACTACGAGCACTACTACTACTTCTACGACTACTACCTCTATTATTTCTACTACTACGACTACTACTACTACTACCTCTACTACTACTACTACTACTACTACTACTACTACTACTACTACTACTACTACACTACTACTACTACTACTACTACTACTACTACTACTACTACGACTACTACTACGACTACTACTACTATTACTACTACTACTTCTACTGCTACTCTTTTCCGGAAAGGGCGGGGGCCCAGGTTCTCTGTAGTAGTAAAGCCTGTCCCCCGGTGCCAACTTGAAAGAGGCCGGCGGATTTTTTCCCTGATAAATATCGAGGTCGAAGGAGGCCGGCAGATTAAAATTTGAGGATGTCTCGAGCGAAACGCTTGTTTTCAGAATTTGTTGAGGATGTCCTCGAGCGAAACGTCTTGTTTTGCAAGTTGGGGGGATGTCTCGAGCGAAAACGCTTGTTTTCACAATTTGCTGAGATGTCTTCAATCGAAACGCTGGTTTTGCCAGAGAGCCGACGCGACGCGGAAAAGCGCCCCGCGCGAAGGAATTTCGATGGATGTCTCGACTATTCGTTTGTTTTGTACATTTTTCCTGGAATTTTGGCAGGATGTCCTCGAGCGAAATGCGCCTGTCCCCCCCACCCTAGCACGACATACCAGCACGACCCACCCCCCACCGACGCAGACCCCATCACGACCCCGACCCCAGCACTACCCACCCCAGCACGCTCATCCCAGCACGACCACCCCCAGCACGAACCGACCGCAGCACGAGCAGAAACGCCCCAGCAATACCAACCCCAGCACGACCACAGACCCCAGCACCGACCTCACCACAGCACGACCACACACACCCCGGCACACGACCAGTCCCCATCACGACCCACGCCTTTAATCCCATGTCTACCCCTTTTCGACCCACGCCCCATCACGACCACCCCCAGCACGACCACCCCAGCACGACCACCCCCCCACCGACCCACCCCGCACGACCACCCCCCAGCACGACCACCCCCCCAGCACGACCACCCCCCAGCACGACCACACCCCAGCACGACCACACCCCAGCACGACCACAACCCAGCACGACCACACCCCAGCACGACCACACCCCAGCACGACCACACCCCAGCACCAGCACGACCACACCCCAGCACAACCCGATCGATAAATCACATGGTGCGGACCACCCCAGCACGACCACACGCCAGCACGACCCCACCCCAGCACGACCACGCCCCAGCACGACCACGCCCCAG